ATGCAGAACGTTTGAATTGTGATAATTATTAATTTTAAAAAATTGTAATGCAAGGCTTTAGAATTGTTTAATGAAAATGTTAAGTTGTTTTTAGTTAAAATTATGAAAATTTATTTTAAAGTCTTCGGCAACCCACAAAATAGAACCAACTTCGTCATTAAACATATGATTTCGCTGTTGTCGTAAACTGGTATTCTATAAGACTTGGGAGCCACGAATACCTAAAGTTGTGTCAATCTCACTACAGATTATATGATGATCTTTCAGTATTAGTTTTTGCAAAACATTAACAGTTTCCGAAACAACATCTGGATTTGAGCGACCTTCACGAAATTCGTCTTTGAGTGATTCACGGTCACGATTGAATACTCGTACATCATAGACACTGGACCATGATGCAGCTTCATTGTCAAAAATTTAGTTAAGTTCATCGATGAACTCTTAATTAGTTCCACCACCTTGAATGTTGTAAAAACGAAGCGCGAGAAAATATTTGCGATTCAATTCCATTCTTTTGGACCCTATGAATATTTAAAGTTACTCTCTAAGCAACACGTATGTAAAACGTCCTTATGATTCTCTCAGTTTTCGCCACGCCATAAATTTTTTAAAAATTTTCTATCTTTGTTTCTGCCAAACTAAGCATGAAACTAATGCATTTGTTTCAACTAATCTGAAAACAATCACCTAAAAAGTAAACATTTTTACTCAAGACTAAGATGGAATGGCCGTATATTGTCCTCAGAGTCTCTGCTTAACTTATATACTCGTACAAAGTTCAGAAGTCACTATGTCAATATTTTTTTTTATGAAAATAAACATTATGTTCATATGTATATATTTAAATACATATGTATGGCAGTATCCCTTTTGATCATGTCTACTAAAGCACGCTTAATACAAATTTAATTATCCTGCATTTCATAATGTGCTTGCCAAAGTTATGTAGCTAATAACTATGCGGGATTGTGTGTTGACCTGAAGTATTTTTCTCATATATGCATAAAGTGCAGTTATGCAAAGTAGCGTAACAGGAAGCGGAAATGTGCGAACAAATACGAACTAAGACCGACCCACGGGTGTCTTACACTGCGAAAATTCCCACATACTTATTTCTGATTGCGATTCTTTGGTTTCTGCTTACCTCATCTACGAGATTTTATTACAAAATGGTGCATATTAACTTAAAGGGTTTTCCAATAAGAGGCGCTATTTTTTTAATTGCCTACTATTCAAGTAGATGAAACTATGAAAATTTTTCAGTAATTCGACAAAATAAATAAAAATTCGTAAAACTATAAATCTTTTCAGTCGTCGTAAAGCAGCTTGTTAGACGGCAATACATAATTTGGTAGAAAAAATGCACGTCTTAAACCCGAAAACCAAAAAAATTGAGTATTATAATAGATGAATGCAAGTAACGAATACAGATATAGTGGAATTTGACTTTTGACAAAATGACGGCTTTAAAAAAAAATTAATTTTTTGTGAGAAATTCTATATTTCAATGTAGCTTGAAAACCGAAATTATTGTTTAAAATTTTATGCCACGAGACATCCTAATGATAGGGTTATATCTCCGAAACAGTTTGTTTGATCAACTTCAGATTTAAAAACATAAATTCTCAAATATAGATATGTGCATTCGAAAAATTAAAAACATAATAGTTTTTTGAAAATTACAAGTAGATATAAGGCCTTAAAGACTTGGGTCTCATATATGTATAAATTTGGCACTTTGTAATCGCTGAAGCGATTTTTGGCCGAGCTGCTTTTCCAATTTCTGGTTTTGCTTCTTTTTAAATTTTTTTCAACAAATGGACTTAGGACTTAAGGCTTATATGGTTGAGCTAAAACAAAAACTAAAGCAGCCCGATCATCAACAATGTCATGTCTTTAACTGCATGAAAATGATCAAGAATTTCATTGAAAAATCATGTCAACTGATGAGCCTAATTTCCCCCTCAATGGTTACCGCAATAAGTAAAACTGTTGCAAGACCTTTTGTTGAAGTGTCTCCCGGTTCGCAACGTGTAATCTTACTTTGTCGAATGTTTTATGATTTGTAATGGCAAAAATACGGCGCTGCGTCTCACAAAATCAACGAAACAATCGATATTTTTAAGGAATAGTTTTCGGGTCATGTTAGCTCTCGAAGAGGTTATGACGATAGACTACTGAGACCTTGTCATTTAACACATTGCGAGTTCTCCTTTTGAGGCCACGTGAAAGACAAGTTCTATGCCAATAGGACAACGTTTACATACAAATAAATTTGCAGTCATTTATCTCAAAAAATGACATTTCCTTTGAATATCAAAATTATGCCTCTTACTGAAAAGTTCTGTAGATAAAAAATTATTAACACAACTAAAATATTTCAACGAAAAAAAATAAAAATATTCTTGTTTTTGAAACAAATAAATAAAGTTCGAAAACTTGAAAAAAGTTTCTCCAAGTGTATATGGTTAGCTTCTAATACATATAAATATACAGTTGTGTGCTTTAAATTGTTTCCACAATATTGTCGTCTTTAGTGCAATTAATTAGCTGTTTCCTTTTCATTTAACTCTTTGTTGATATAAATATGTGGTTTGCGTGCATTTTGTGTCCATTTGAGACAATGCCAAAATGTCTATAAATTTTGTCAGATTGCCTCTATGGCTCCAGGGAAGGTGTAAAATTTCGAGAAGTAGACCATGGACTGATATTCGGGACAAAAGTGTTTTTTTTTTTAATTTAATTTTTTTTACGGGAAGTGCGTCGTTTTTTCAAAAATAAGCTAAGTTTTTGTGTGATATACCTAAACTTTCGTTTCCTGGAAATGAAGTGGAGACTTGAAACCAACTTTATTTGCAGGAAAAAGATCACCACGAGAGTGACAAAAAATTGTGAATTTTAAAAGTTTTGATATAAGCATAGATTTTATGTAGGTATGTTTGCTTCACATTTTTAATTTTTTCTTTTGCGACTGGGGGCTTAATTTGAGCGTGAATAAAAGTAGATCCGAATGGTGTGCTTGGCTTACATCCAGGCATTTATATTGATATTTTTGCGAGAGACTTTGGCTTAAACATATATATAAGTAAATAGATCAGTCTATATCGTCTTGAGTTAACAACATTGCTATATCCATTTTCCCTTTTCGCTGTTCGCACCAATTGTAAATAGTACAGCCAAGTCTTCCGCTACCCGGTCTTTCCAACGGATTGTAATGCTGCAACTACCCAACTCACGTACCTTCCATCCATAGCAACCTATCTTCTGAGAGCGCCATGAAAACACAAAGGTGTCACCGCTTGCCCATGCCGTTAGAGACGATTGTCCCACAGAAACCAGCGGCGATTTCAGTTTCTCTGTAAAACCGGATGGGCTCATTTCTCGCTGCTATACAAGGTTGCCAGTATAGTCTTTCTTAAAGCAATATTAAATAACCGAAGAAAATGCGTAATTTTTTCATAAGAAATGAAAACTAAATGCGTAACTAATTATTTGTTACCATTAGGATCATGTATATTTGGTTTTCGTTTATATTCGAACACATAAATTATATGCAAACACACTGGCTACGTCAACAATTGTGTATTTAACTCGCTCTCAACATAAGACTTCCGCGAACGCGAACGATGAGCGACTCGCATAGTTTAGTTTCTGTACGTCGAGGGAGAACTTTACTTTTTTAAGGAAGCACCTGTTGACACGAGAGTGATTGTGCACTGGATTTCCAGGCTGAGTTTGTTGTTTTGATTAAAACTGGTTCCAGGACACGACTTCAAAGTTATAACTGTCAACAGTGACGTGAAAGCCGAGTGACAATGACTATTTCTTGAATTGGTCTTGTTCTCGTTCACAACCAAACTCACCCGCTTCGCTTACTTACATAGTTCGGAGAAAACAGAACTCACGCCATGACGTAGGCCAGCAGCTGTACACTCCTTTAGAAGATTGTACCTTCTCTATTCAGCTATGTCGCTTTTTTATTATTATCTCATTATTATCGCCAGCAATAGGCTTAGAATTGTTAGAAATTTTCACTTACTATGTAAAAATATTCATCTTTTAGGTGTTCACAATGGGTTAACACAAAAAGAACTCAGCAAATTCGTATGATTCTTCTTTTAGAGCAAATAATTTTATTTGCGTTAAGCAAACGACTTTTTTTGATTTCTCCGAAATTTAAATCCTTTCTCTGCCAGGATTTTGTGATATGGAATCATAATTTTTCCGCCTAAAAATCTGATGAAGTTTCTGTGAAAGCGAACAAAATCCACATAAAAAGAGACCAGGAAAGTACTCGATTTTTCTAATAACTACCATTCGGAAAGCCAGGGTTCAACTCCACATTCAAAATTACAGAAAATTTATTTTTGTGATTATGGTCGCCCCTCCGCATAAAAATCGATCAAAAGTTGAAAACCGACTTAAAACAACTATATGATTCAGAGGCTTCAAAGCGACAATTATATATACGCAAGTTTGTGAAAGGAACAAACAGCCCTCGTATTGCATGAAGAGCAAATGACGGAAATTTTTATAGTCACGCTATGATGACCAAACACATCACCATCACAATTTCTATATTAGCAAAACCAACCAAAAACTAATTGCTTGACTAACCACTCACTCCGCCCACTTATTCATGTGGCGCACGCTAAGCTGACCAAAGCTATTCAGCTATGCCATTGCTAATGATTACCCATATTTAGATATAACGGTTAGGTTCTGATAAATGCAGCTTATTATGACAATAAGTATTCACAACGTAAGTAGAAACCGGAAGTAATTGAAATTATGAAAAAATTTTATTTAGCTTGTTTTTTTTTCATTCTTCCAAAGCTGGTCGAAATAGGGCAAGGTATAGTATATATGTAAATATATACGTACAAATTGAACGGACTCACCAAAGTAAATTTACATTCTCTTAAATACAGTAGGAACTTTATAAAGACAAATTTATTTTTTTATTTTTTTTTTTTATACAACATAAAAATCTCGTGATCTTAACGAATATTTCCATCACGTAAATTCCTTCATTTTTTTATTAACTATCACCAATACACAAATGTTTAATAATTTATTTCATATTATTCGAATAGGTAGGATTTTTGAAACTAGTAGTCGCTTGCTTGTAAAGTGGGTTGCCACCCTAAAAGAGAAATAAATTGAAATAAAAATCAGTAAGAAAATAAAATAAAATAAAATAAAAAGTAATACAAGTTAAAATAAAATTAAAATAATATAAAAGAAAATAAATATCATAATATAAAATAAAATGATAGAAAAAAAGTTAAAATAAATTTCAAAAAAAAAAAATAAAGTTAAATAAAATTAAAACAAATAAAATAAAACACAGTAACAAAAAATAATACAAAATAAAAAATGAAATTAATTAAAATAAAATTAAATTAAATTAATTAAATTTAAAATAAATAAAATAACATCAAATAAAACAAGAAAGGAGAAAATAAAATAAAACAAAATAAAATGAAATGAAATAAAATAAAACATTATATAACAAAGTAAACTAATTTCAACTAAAATATAGCTAGAGGTAATAAAATATTAAAATTAAATAAAGTAAACTAATATGAAAGAAAACTAAATAAGGAAAAATAACGTAAAATAAAATAAAATAAAATAAAATAAAATAAAATAAAATAAAATAAAATAAAATAAAATAAAATAAATGAAAATAAAAAGGAATAAATTAAAATAAAATAAAATTAAATTAAATAAAATAAAACATTATATAACAAAGTAAACTAATTTCAACTAAATTAAAGCTAGAGATAATAAAATAATAATATAAAATAAAGTAAAGAAAATTAAAAATAAAGCAAAATAAAGTAAAATAAAAAGAAATCCAATCAAATAAAATAAAATATCATAAAATAAAAAAATAAATTGAAATAAAAAAAGAAATAAAGGATCTGAACACAATATTATGGACCAATTGCAAATAACGGAGAAATTCTCCAAAGATATAAGCATGTCACTTATGCTAGACAAGTGCAAAACACTCGGTGTGGAAAGTGGTAAAGTTGTATCACGAAACTTTCCACTAACAGATCACGAGTATATATTGCAGAAGCGTTGGACATTGATGATACCTACAAATATCTAGGTATTATGCAAACTAGAAGAATTCATCATAATGTTATGATACAGAAAATTACTGACTGTCATATGCACAGAACCAAAAGTCTTTTAAAATCTTGTCTTAACGGTAAAAATATTTTTAAAGCCATTAACACATTCGCGGTGCCTTACTAATGTATAGTTTTTGTATGGTAAAATGTTCCGATACGGAACTGGAAAACGTGAAAAGAGCAATACGAACACTCCTAACGAAATACGGTGCCCATCACCCTGAATCAGCAATCGAACGAATCAACTTTTCTAGAAGCTTAGGCTGACGAGGACTTATTGATGTCATGAATCCCTGCAAAAAACAAGTCTCTAATTTGCGCCAATACTTCTTACAACAGAATACGCCTCTCCATATAGCAATATGCAAAGCGGACGAGAGATCTACACCTTTGAATTTCAGAAACATGTAACTTGACGAAATAACAGATGCAATGCATACAGAAAAATTGCTAAAGGACCAGAAGATAAAAACATTACATGCTAGGCATTCACATATACTGAGTCAACCTGAGATCGACATTGGTGCATCAAAACTTTGGTTGCAACATGCCTGGATTTTCTAAGAAACAGGAGGGCTAATGTTTGCAATTTAAGGCCAAGTAATAATATACCGCTCACAAACAAATCGAAAACGACAGATGTATTGTATGAGTGCATAAGTTCGTGCCCGATTCCGCTGGATGCCGTTCGAATCGTTTGANTGAACGTTGGGAGTGGATTGCCGAACATGATGGCGAACTCATAATTGATTAATAAAAGCGCTTTCTTCAAAAAATTTCAATTTTAGTTTGCACTTGAAATCGGACACGAACTTATGCACTCATCCTATAGAAAGTGCCAACAACGAACAGAAACTATACAGCATATCACAAGGGTGTGTATTATATTAGCGGCTACTGAATACTTGACGCGGCTTAACAACGTGGCAAAAGTTACCCATCAGAGTCTTGCTATACGTACTAAACTACTAAGAGAAGAGATACCCTACTACAAATATAAGCCTGCTGCAGTCCTAGAGAATCAAGAATATAAAATATGACCGCACGATTGTGACAAAGAGGAGTGTCCAGCATAACAGACCAGATATTATTCTTGTTGAGAAAAAGGAAAAGAGAGCTCTTCTTATTGATGTCGGCATACCTAATTTTCACAATTTTCAAGAATACTATGGCGAGAATAGCAAGAAATATCAGCAGTTGATAGTAGAAGTAAAGCAGATGTGGCACTTGGACAAAGTTATAGTAGTACCGATTATTATTTCGTCGACAGGAGTGGTTCTCAAAAAATTGTTGATGCAAAAATAAGTAATATTATTAACAGCAACAATTGTTCGTTCGTTTTTGAATATTGAATTGTAAATATCTGTAAAAAATTTCTAAAATCTTGTAGTAAACAACCGATATGTGATATGTTACCCAAAAAAGAGTAAAAATAAGAAATTAAATAAAATAAAAGAATATAAAATAAAATAAAACTAAATTAAATAAAACAAAATAAAGCTTAACTAAATTGGCTAAAATAAAATTAATATAAATTAAAATAAATTAAAAAAAATAAAATAAATAAACAAAAACAGAATAAAATAAAATTAAATAATATAAAATCAAAAAAATTTAATAAAATTAAATAAGGAAAAAAATATATAATATAAAAGGGATACACAAAATAAACTAAACCAAATGAAGAAAAGAAAAGCGAATTAAATAAAAAAAAATAGAGCTTAACTAAATTGGTTAAAATAAAATTAATTTAAATTAAAATAAATTAAAATTCAATAAAAAATTTAAATGAACATAAAAAAATAAAATTAAATTAAATAATATAAAATCAAATAAAATTTAATAAAATTAACTAAAGAAAAAAATATATTATGAAAGGGATACACAAAATAAACTAAACCAAGTGAAGAAAAGAAAAGTGAATTAAATAAAAGTAGTGAAATAAAATAAGATAACAGAAAACAAAATAATATAAAAAAGTTAAATAAAATAAACTAAGTCAAAACTAAATAGAGAAAATAAAAGTAAATGAATTAAAATAAATTTGAGTAAAATAAAAAAAAATTTGAAAATGGAATATAATAAATCAAATAAATATAAATAAATAAAATGATATTAAGAAAGATGATTTAAAAAAAAAACTAATTAAATTAAATTTAAAAATTATGGTTGATATCAATTTTATTTAATTAAAATAAATATATAAACTAAAACTAAATAAAGGTAAATCTAGATAATATAATATTCAAATTTAAAAGAATGAAAAAAGGAAAGGAATAAAATAAATAAATTATAAAACAAAGCAAAATTAAATAAAACAGCAGAAAATGAAAAGAAGGAGATGGAAAAGGAAACGTTTACTGAAGAAAAAATGACATTTTAATTTTTAGTATCTTCAAAAATTTTCCACAATCAACTCACCGAATTCCATTTCGCATTCAATTTTTCCGCTTCGAAACGCTTATATTCACGTCGATCCTGCATTGTCGTAATAATTTTCCACATTAGCAATGTGGCCAGTCCAGTCAACAAAATCGAACTGCTCACGCTAATTGCTATCTTAAAGAAGGCTATCTTAGGCGCACATTTGCGCTCTTTTTGTGCTTCTATTTTATAAAGACCATCATTTTCTTTAAAGGTAAATGCATATATGCAATCATCAAAAAATTCACAGTTCTTTTCGCCCTCAACTAACTCGAATTTCTCTCGCACCTTATCTACCGCAATCGTCTCGACCTGAGTGCAATTGCCAAGGCAATCCTTTTCATTCTGAAATTTGCCTCTCTTATACATTTGACATTGTACGCAATCTTTCAGTTCGGAACAAAGACTTGAACATGTGGGACATGTTTCGCAATATTTCCCCGAGAAGCGACCCTGTGCAGTGGATTGGCATCTGTAGATTTAAATTTTATTTTTCTATTACTCTCTTTTTCTTTTAGTACAATGTATGTGTACTACTACTACTTACTTGCATACGCCGCACTCGCACTCGCCCTTACCGGAGCAAAGTTTGTCATCACCCGGCTTGCGGCAACTCTCTGTAGATACCGGACATTCGCAAGCTTTGCCCTGCCAACCGTCATTGCAAACGCAATTTCCGCATTCACATTTGCCATGATCGGAGCCAGAACAAAGTTTCTGGTCGGATCGCTCGCAAGAGAAATTGTCACACTGACAATATTTACCCGATATAACCTCCTTGTCATTGTTACGTTTATCACACTGACATTGGCCACACGAACATACGCCACGCCCACTGCAATCGATATTCATAGAGTTGTCACGACAATTGTGACTATTTTCAGTTGAATTCATGTGTTCGGTATTCGAGCATTGACATTTAGCGCCGACGAATTTCTCATCACACTCACACACGCCGCACATCAAACTACCCTTGGACGAACAGTATTTACTCTTCTTATTCTCTTCGGCCTCACACTTGCAACCGCAGAGCATTTCGAGATCAATTATTAAACTCTCATTTATACCGATTGGGTAAATTTGTATTGTTTGTTGCCAATCTCGCGGATCTGCCGGGCATGAGGTTACTCGTATGTTAACTTTAAATTCAATCTCTTCATCGACACGTAGTCCATCGCATTTCGATGTCGGTATTTCGGGGCCATTACCACGACATGACGAGTAGTAGGTGATCTTCACATTTCCAGTGGAGTTGTCACTCATTTCGATGGAGGAAGAAATTTGCTAAAAATCAGAGAAGGAGAGACTGATTGGCAAGATTTATAAAAATGCGTTAAAATGTGATTTGAACAAACTGAGTTTTCTTCTCTTATAAGGTGAGACCACTACCGAACTGTTGATTAGAAGATATAATTTTTCATGTCGAAAATTGTGCCAGTTGGAGTAAAAATCTTATTAAAGTTATTAATACACGATACAGCCAAATACTTTCTGAAATAGTTGAATATAATTTTTTTGGAATACTCCATGAACTAATAAGAATTCTTTTCCACCAACTAACTTCAGTACCAATTCCTATATTTTCTGAGATTCAAATGTTTCGGTCCTTAGAAGCTTTTTTGGAATATATGGAAATATATGGAGAATTTCTAGCCTTAATCGAAAACAATTAGACCTCGGTAAAATATAGTATGAGAATGACAAATATGTTGTAACAATAATAATGGCAGCTGGAATTATTAACTGTATGCCCAGTGCTTCAAAACCTTTTTTCAAAATCTTGTGAGAGCGGTTAAAATGCAAAGAAGTCAATACATCAGACATTATTAAGCCTGGATCCTCCATTTTGTGAAATTCGCACAAAAAATCTGTTTATTTTATAATATTTCTAATTTAACATACCTGATATTGTTCCCGTATTAAATTCACCACATTTGAAGATTGCCCCGTCAAGATGGCAGTTTTTGATCCTTCAATACGATCCGACAGTTGCTTGTAGATTTCCAATACATCTTTTGTAACAGCAAATATAACATTGATCGAATTTTCTTTAATTACATGCTTTATCATGCCGACACTTGGATAATCCAATTTCTCTGCATGTGTATAATAGCCTTCGCTGTCCAAATGGCACTTGGCATCATTTGGTTGAATTAAGCCAGCAAGCTGGAGGCAAAATTAATATTCAATCAATATTTTTCAAAGATAAAGCTTTTTCATTACACTTTGTGTGCTTTGCCACGCACCTTACCATCACCGGCGCTATGAAAATCAGCATCTGTTGAGAAGACAAGCAAATGCCGTGCTTTTTCACGCCAACCGATCTCCTTGCGACACACGATCGCCTGTATCATCGCATCAAGACCACCTTCGGGCGAATCGCTGTTGGGCGAAATTCTAGCGTTTTTTACTTTGAGCTAAATGTATGTGCGCGCATATGAAAGTGTTATGTATGAATAATTAAGAATACATCAAAAAAGAAATAATCTCATTAATATTTCAAATTACTCACTGAAAATTCATCGGTATTAGTGCTGAGTGGCATAACATTGCGATAACTATACGGTTTGTTGCATTTTTCATCTGCCCGGCAATTCCATCTTATTTGAGAAAAACGCATAATTAAAAATAATACCATATATTTTATTTTCCATTATTTTATTTTCCATTATTTTATTTTTTTGTCTTATTTTATTTTCCATTGCTTTATTTTTTTATCCATTTCATTGTTCTTTTCTTTTTTTTCTTTTCTCTGCTTTCTTCTCTTTTCTTTGTTTTTCACTTCTTTTCTTTCCTTTTCTCTAAATTTCTATTCTTTTGTTTTATTTCATTTTATTTTAATTTATTTCATTTTATTTTAGTTTATTTTATTCTTTTTTTCAGTTTTGTTTATATTATTTTAATTTATATTATTTCATTTTATTTTTATATTTTTTTCTATGTTATTTGATTTTAATTATTTTATTTTATTTTATTTTATTTTATTTTATTTTATTTTATTTTATTTTATTTTATTTTATTTTATTTTATTTTATTTAAATTTATTTTATTTTTATTTTATTTAAATTTATTGTATTTGACTTATTTTATTTTTATTACATAATTTTATTTAATTTTACATTTCCTTATTATGTTTTTGTATATTTTTCCATTTTGTTAAATTTTATTTTATTTCACTTTATGTTTTATTATATTTCATTGATTTAAAATTTTTGGTTTTTCATATATTGTACTAGTTTATTTAATTTCATTTAATGTTTTCTTTAATATTTGGCTTACTTTTGTAAAACAATGTTCGTGAAAGGCATTATTGCTTTGTCGATAAAAGAGCCAAACCCCAACCGAAAGTCCGCTGTAATATTCCGCATAGTTTTTGCAAGCATATCACCCAGAATAGACAGATTGTCTCTATCGTCTCTCATAGATTCTGACAGGTCCATGAGATAGTACAAATCGACTGGATAATCTAGGGCACGTGCGTATTTTAAAGTGAAGTCGTAGGCTTCGTCTGGAAAATGATTTCAATGAAAAGGAGTAAAAAAATGTCCGACTTTTTTCTTTGGAGGTAAGCTAATATCTAATTTTGAAATTCAATTTTTTCTCAATTAAAAAAATCTCTAAATGTATGCTTAAGATTCACTTACAATACAACCACGAGTAACAGTAAAGATGTCAATAGAATTTAAAATAGGAGTGTTTGTGTCTAAGTGTAGTTAGCACCTTCACAGTAGAAGTGCTCTACCTATTCCAAATCCTTACTAAAGTAACTTATATGTTTACGGTAAGTTCCCAATTTGTAGTGCGCAGAACGTGGATTACTCAACTTTCGTTCGTAATGCAGCTGGCAACACGATTAATTCGGTTGGGTCTATCTGAGACTTCCTGTATATCTCTTTTATGTATAGGTAGGTAATTTTTTGTAAAACACTTACTCGGCTTCAATTCCAATTTCATGTATTGCGGCATAAGTTGGACAATTTTGTGAACATTTGTTTTATCGTTTTTCTTCTTTTCGCTCACTTTGTTGCCGGTGAGGGGAAGACTAATTTCTTCCACCTTCTTTGTCACTGGAAACTCAATTGACGTGCAAGTTGAATTCGAATTGCTTTGAAAGCAACGGTCTTCTGTGAAATTCGGCACCTTACACCATGCACAATTTGACGTTTGTATGCAATCACGGCAATTATCTTTGTTTTTACAAGCATTGTTAATACTTTCCAATTCAATCGCTGCATTCACAATACTTGCGAACACTGTTAGCGCTATAAAGAGTTTTGCATAGCGCTGCCGATGGAGCGCAATTAAATTCATTTTCAATTAATTTCTAATAATTTTTTAATTTTTTATTTACAACAAAATTGAAATTTAATTTGCAGAATTTACAAACTTTTAATACACTTTATCCAAGTGGCGCTGGTAGGCAACTGATTTTTGTAGAAAGCGCTTTCAGCGTCTTTGAGTTTGGTAAATCCGTATTTTGATATGCTCATGATTCATATTAGAGTTCTTCCTTGCACTGCTTTATTGTAAATACGAGACCACAAAAATGAAATTCTAATTATAATATAAACGGGTAAATATTTATGCTGTGACAATGTGAATTGCTGATAAGCCCATTTTAAATTTTTTTTTTTTTTTTTTTTTGCCGCTGGAATTTTGAAAGTGATTTTGAGTCATATGAATTTTGTAGTAATACCCTGCAGGGAAAATATTGGCTTTTAACTTGAATCCAACTAGTTCTGTCAATTGTCAGTCTATGCATCAGTTAGATACTAGTTAACTACCAGTATCGATGTACTGGCTAAAATACTGGTTTTTTCGAGCCAACTGAGAACTAGTTTGCCTCAGATCAGTCTGCATCGTTCTAGTCAAAATCCAGTTCGATTGAATCCGGCATTCCAAACCATTGAACAGAATTTAAAATGGTGTTAAAAAACTCCTTTCATGGGAAACTGACTAGTGAGTAACTTATTTGAAAAACGCACTTATATTTTATACTTCACATAAATCGTTCTATATATTATAAGCTTAATTTCGACTGTTCGTAGTTCTTTACATTGAACAAATAATATAAAAACCATAATTATGTGTGGTCGGAGCTTCTAGTTACTTATGAGTACTGCTTTTTTCCAAATCGTACAAACTTGCCCGCAAAATACTAGTTTTATACGCGAGTTTTTGCAAAACTGGTACAAATTTTCCCAAAAAATACTAGTATAATTCTAGTCTGTGGCAAACTAGTATATTTTTGTTCTTTGAATACTAGCATAATTCTGCCCTACAAATAATAGTATTTAACTAAAGTTTTTGCTTATTTAACCTTTTCCTTGTAGGGTATATATATAATAAGTATGTATGCATAGTGTCTTGGTATTAAGAAGGTTAATTTATATACAAATAATCTCCATAAAGAAAAATATTATGTTTTAGTACGTATGTAAATGTATCATTTATATTTCTCTCTTTTATTTATTTTTCTGCTATATTCGTATTCCTTTGATTTAATTTAGTTAATTTTAATATTCATATTTTGCTAATATGTAGATGGCAGGCATAAAACATATGTATGTCATGTTTACATATGCACATACATAGATAAATTAGTTCCTATTGCTAGATAAGTTTTTAAATTCAATAATCGCTGACCATCACAATATATATAATATGTAAATAAAAATGAAAGATCTCGCTTGCAGTGTTCAGAATTCTACGATGTAATTTCTTTTTAAGCTTTAGCGCAGCGATGTTGCGCACATACATATGTGTGTGTATGTGTATGTACAAACTATATACGCTTTGGAAATATTATTAGTTGAAGTGTGAATAACTGGCTGCCTCAGAGTTGAAGGTGTCAGTTGGGAACTAAATTTTTTTAAACTGTCTCATGTCCTCATCAAATATTTGTATTAATTTTTTCCGTAATTTAAATTGTACTATTTGCTATACGAAGAGCTCTTCCTTGAGGAACTAAACAGATTAATTGTACGGTTTAAATTAAATTTGATGCGTTATAATCTTAAATAATGTAAAGTAATAAACTTTTTCGAAAGCGGTAGACAAACGAATTCAAGCGCCTATTTTGTTAGTAAAGCTTTGCTCGCATTATTATTAGTATGACTTATAATAAAATATGATTCAGCAGTTTGAAACCCGATGTATCTTATGGAATAGAATCTAATCACAAAGAGTTTCTAACGTTTTGCTCTAAGAAATTTTGGATGTAAAACTTAAGTGGCTTCCACACTTGGCAGTCGTAGGAAAATGCTTTGCTTTTTTTTTCAAGGAAAAATAATAAAAAGCTGAACATCAAACGGAATATTTCATAGCTTTGAAAAACCAAACTTTTAGTTTATTGTCTTATCCATTTCACATTATACAGCATATCGAGACAATTATCTTAAATTGTCAAACCGTGATTATGAAGAGAGACCCGCTCAAAGTCAGGAAAGCGCCACCTACCTCAAGCACACATACGTGTATATAAATAAATATATTGGTACGGTAATAAAATCTATTATTTTTTCAATAGATGGCTGTGATATTCGTGTCTCTCTATAAGTGCAGTTGGATACGTTAGCTGGTTTTAACATGAGTTAACGAGAAAAAAACCTCATGGAACGAATTGCCACAGTTGAACCGTAATAAAATTGAACCACTTCTGAAGCGGATGGTGCATTTTGATAAAAAGTATTTCACCTACAGCAATGTCAAATGAAGACGGCCGTGGTCGAATGTCAGTGAGCCGGCACAATCGGTCTTCAAGACAAGATGGACGACCAGGAAGCTTCCACACACTAATCAATAATGAGAATCACTGAGCAGAAGCTCCGCAAGCTTGGTAAAAAGTTTATAATGCTCCTATATATACCTCACACTAAGTTGTTTTTATCTGTTCCTGTATACGGCGAAATCGCTGGTGAAGAACTGTCCGCAAGAGAAACCAGTGAAAATGGATTGTTCCAAGAGAGAAGCTTATCGAGCAAAGCGGTGCATTTACGGCATAAATCGGATAAGTTTACTTATGGTAAATAAAGCCTTGAACTTAATGTATAATATATTTGCTTGAAACTCCTTTAGTTTCGAGTAGTGATAAAACTCGAAGTTATGGTGTGGATTACTTAAACTTTTCAATTCTGAAGTTAATTTGAGATAAGAAATAATTTTATTTCATATTATTTGAATTTAATTGTACAAGTTTTCCAAAAAAAAATATACTCAACATTTGGTCTCTTAAACCCATTTTTGTTTCTTTTATTTTATTAAAAACAATTTAAAAGGTATCTACCTTCCTCAAACACGCTATATGTTTCTTCAGTACAAGATACTTAAATAATTTTAGTATAACAATATATTGTACTATATCGCAATTAAATATTGAAAAGCCTTTAAGAAGATGTCAACTTTCCTCACAAAAATTTAAAACAAAACTTCTTAGCTTCGTACCAACATTATAATTATTTGTTTAAAATAGTTTAGTCAGGCGCCTGTCTGTCAGTCCATCTACACTCTTCGTACAGGAGATAAATAAAATAAGGATAAAGATATTTTTATGAAACTTTGTCCAGACATTCCTTGAGTCATAAGTACGAACGCTAATGAAAAATTAAATAATTCGTTATGTAGATCCACAATTAAAGTTATATTTAACTTATAATATAACACCAAAAGTAAAAATGGGAGGAGTGAAAATATTTTAGGTTGGCGTGAGACCGCCTACTCTTGATTCAAAAAGCATATCTCAAAGCACACAAAATTAGCCAAAAATTTATTTCTTTTATGTTCTCGTTAAGCACGCATTGTACATATTCGTGTCGCAACTACGCCTTTACCTCATAACAGGTTTTATACTTTCCAACCCACCGCTTGACTCAAACCGAATATTTAAGGGGTTACATAGGTCTTGAAGGCAAAAAAAAGCTTATTTTCTCTAATATTTTTTTTTTAAATACTAAATAAACTATACAATTTATTTGGTTTACATATAAAAGTAAAATATGTGAACAAACCTTTATGAAAATTTGAATGAAAAATAGTATAAATTAAGGCGTTGCCAGTGTCGTGAAGTAGACCGTCCAAAAGAAAGTGCTTTCGCGGTAGCCATGATAACTTTTTGAATTTTTATCTGAAATCAAAAACCTAAATTTTTTTCTCACAGTAAGTAAATTTTCCTTGTCCCTGAACGAAGACAAATTAAAAAAAAATTAAAAACTTAATTTTTTTGTAGCGTTTTTTACAAAAAAAAGTCTTTTTTTGCATAAAATTAGGTCACATAATGGTCTGTAAAATAAGTTGAAATCAAAGAATAATAAGAAAAATAAATACTTCATTCATTGTGGAAAACTTGAACTCTATCGCTTCAATAGTCGTAGGAAATTTCGACTACCCATTTCGAAACTCGTTTAAAGTTACGCCATCGGTCAAGCCATGACAAAGACGGCGTGTTATAAAATTCTCTAATTTCTACAGTTTCATCTCGTTCGACTTGAAACTTGGAGAAAATATTCCTGACACTTTGTGCTTTTATACAAAAAATTATCAAAAAAATTAATTTTTGGAAGTTTGAGGACCTATCTAACCCCGTAAAGCAATAATAAAGAGAACTCAACGAAACTTGGTAGATATGCTTCTTTTAGTGGATACTTAAGTGCTGCAAAAGTGGCTAACAGAGGTACAGAAATCGACCTGTGGGCGTTTTATTATATATCAGCCGACCAGTTCCGCCCAAACTTAGTATTCTTCGCCTGTTTACAGTTCAAGTTTCAAATTTAATCATGGCTTCGATTTATTTAACCCTTGTCCCCTGCTGAAAAAGCTATTTCGGAAATAAATAATAACCTGGATATCCGTGCGTTGTTATAAAACATTTTAAAATAATTTCCTTTTAAGGCATTCAACAGGGCGAACTTTAAAAGTGAAGTTACAACCGTAACGAATTTAACTATTCTCACTCATATATTGTTGTAATTGCTTACAAGTTTTTTCTGTTTATGTTTTCTTTGCTTGAATTGCACTTGATTGGGTATTCGTGATTTTTCGATAACAGTTTACGTGAGTTATGAGTGAAACAGCGAGTTTGTGCGTTTTAAAAATCCAATAAATCTCCATGATTTTTACCATCGCCAATCTAAGAAAAAATAAAATGCAAACTTTTTGTTGTGTTTGTTCTCCTGTTCTCACATTCATCAATTCGTCTTAACATTAGTCATACTTTCGATAAGAAAACTTTTTTTAATTAATGTTGGTTTTAAGTTCCATTTTGAGTTAAAAAATTTTGACAAAAAACTTTACAAAGTTACAGACGAAAATATCTT